TTTAAGCAAGTTCTTCATGATTGAGCTAAGTGTCCTCTTTTTTGGAAATCAAAATGTGGTCACCCTACATTAGCTACCATGCTAGATAGCTACCGATGTCAAATTATGCTGGTGTTTACTAGGTACAGTGACTAGAAACAACAAATGGGCTAATTGATAGCTGAAGTAGTTAGCAGAGTTAGCAGCCGGGTTAGCGGAGCGCTAATGCTAAACAACATGCTTTTTGTTGATGTCGTGTTCATATACTTATGACCAACAGTATAATTCTTATATAGAGTAAATCACTCAGTAAAGACTGACTTGGCTGCATTCAAAATACGTTTCCAAAATGTTGCTCAGCCATATGATACCATTAGCCCTTCCACAGTTAATCTGTTGATCCATTTTAATTTCTAATAGTGTTTTCTCTAGTTGACATTGATCTCTTAAATATAATACACAAAACTGTGACTTCAACCTTTATTTTTGTTTACACACTTATCTGCACAAGCAAAATGAGCAGTAGCTCCCACCGGAGACTAAAACAAACAGAACTGCTTAGGTATAATAGCTTATATGGATTTGGGCAAGAAATGGGGAACCGTAAATAGTGCAGAACGACTCTCTTAAGACTAAACAACAGCAAAACAAGAAAGGGAAAAATGTCCAGGGAGTTGCTTCCCTGGACAGAATTCAACACTGAAGTCTGTCTCTGCTCCAAGAATTGGCTGGTTGAACTGTTTTTCTTCCTTCCTAATTGAGATAAGAAACGTGGTCAAGCAGCAATTATCTTCTTCCAAATTGCATCCTGACTTGCTTTAACATAATAAACAATCCTACCCTTAGGTGCAGCAGCAAATTCTCCTCACTCCAATGCTGATAAACACGCATACTGTGCATCATTGCCCTACATTCTTCCAGGCCTGAGGCTGCACATTTTGGTTGCTTACAATAAATATAAAGATTTTAAGCTATCAAATAACAATGGAAACTTCAGGACTCACTTAGTGAAAAGGTGTCCACTTGGTCTTTGACACAGAGACCCTACAAGCTTAAATCAATGACCAATCTCAGGCTTAGAGTGGAGGACAACATAGGCTGGCTAGGTCAACGCCAAGTGTGCCAGTGTTTCTATTTCTGGCACATCGTGACTTATTTAAACCATCCTATCCCTATAACGTCATCAACACTCACAACGTCCCAGCGTCTGGCCAAGCAGACTCTCAGCCTTCTGTGGCTGTGTTCGCTGGTGTTGTTTTACACATTTGACCAGGCCGATGCAGAGTGTGCATTCACGCACGCGGGTGCAGTCTGTACATATTTACAGGTTCTTTTGCCCTTACGGTGTGCTCTACCTGTGATTTGTTGTGCAACGCTCCCTGCAGTTCGGGGAAAATTGCAGCTCAGTTGTGAGTCGAACCAAGAAGTACTTGAAGGAGCAATCTATGGGTGTAAATGCCACCTTTTCACATTTTTTTTGGCAGTTTGCATTGCTGGGAAAGGAAGAGGATGGGGCCAGGCCAGAGAACGGATGAAGCCCCAAAGCCAGCAGGGTTGAATGCTGACTATTCCAGCATCATTTCATGCGTGAGCGAGTGAGTGATTAATTCAGCCACATTTGAGTGCGTATGTGTGTGTGTGTCTGTGCATGTTGCTATGGTAACTTGGGTATAGGATGGGTTGCCCCACGGAGAACACTTGCGGCTCACTACAAGACCAGAAGCCTTGCCTCTTGGGATGGTGAGTGCTCGGCGGTTAATGTTGTGCTAGTTCAATGCCCGGCCACGCGTTAGACATCTGGATGACATCTGTTTCTGCACCTGATTGTTTGTATGTGGGACACTCTGCCTTTAGACACTGTGTGCATATATATTGTATCTAGTGGCATTACTGCAAAACAACGACAAAACAAAACACTAGCATAAACGCGATGCTGAACAGGGTCGCTGCCCCTCGCCCCACCAAGTGCAGACGGCCCTGGAGTCTTTCCAAGCTCCCCGCTGTACTGCTTCTGTTGCTTCAGCATTAATGCCCTGCCTCGTATAAACACGCACATAATAACAAATATAATTAACTCTCAGCGAGATTTAACCAGCAGAATGAGGCGAGCAAGCACGAAAAAAAGCCACCGAAAGAACAGACGAGGGCGCGCTGGCATTCAAACACAACGACTGCAAGGCAACAACACTGGAGGTGAGAAAGGGGGAGCAGGAAAGGTGAAGAAGTGAGCACCCCTGCTGTGGATGCTCCTGAGTTAAATGTGACTAATTCAACCTTAAGAAACGAGAAAGCCCAGTGGACATCTGGAATAGGATGATCTACCCTACATACTAATTAGAGGGCTCTACTGTTCCATCACATTATTAGCAGCCATTAATAACTGCACGCCTTTTGGTTTTGCATAATGCGCTCTGTGTCAAAAGGATCTTTTTTTTGACAAGCTGGCTGCTGGTGCTCAAGTTTCTCCAGCTACGACAATCACCACCACCAGGTCACATTAACTTGCGCGCACTGTTCAACTGTAAAGACAGATGATGCGTAGCAGGAGCAATTTTAGCCTGCGAAGAAGTCGTCTTTTTTCAGCAGATTTGAATAGAAACATATGTTGTTAACTACTGAGTGATTCCCACTTTTGAGAGAGAGAACGTCAAAGAGATCAAGTACAGTGAACGCTCCTCCAGGATTCCCTCTACAGTGGAGGACACACACACAAACGCACAAGTAGGTGTAAAAGCAAAAGTATGAATGCACTCTCTTTACACCTCTTTACACGTGAAATCAGACAAATGGCTTTCCCTGTTCTTCAGTACAGGCAAAGATTATAAAGAGTGGGAAGAGAAAGAGGGCATTGAGTGAGAAGGGACACAGAACTGGTTTAAATGTGTAAAAAAGAAGACGGAGAGAGGACGAAGCTGTCAGTCACTCACCTGTTTCCAGTTGTCAAAAATGATGACTTTGCTGTCTTCGTCGTCCACTGTCACCGTATACTCGTAGCCCTCACCTGCAAACAAAACGCCCTCGTCACACATAAGAAAGGACAATGCAGCTCATGTTAAGAATAAATAGGGGAGTCTGACAAGTTGTAAAAGAAAATCATAACAGGAATTGTGGCGATAAAAAGAATGAATCACAATATTCACTACTTAAGTAGATTGTCTGCATATTCTGCCTCAAGACACTGATGAACCAGTTTAAGTCTTAAAAACTGTCCTTGACCTACTCGAGAGTTCTTACATCATTAACCGTGAAGATTACAGCAAAGCATTTAAAGACTGGGCTTTGGAGCTAAATGATGTGTTTATGAAGGCGGTATAATGCAGATGTTTTAATGCTTTTTTGCTCCAGTTTAAATGATGATGGTGATATTCCGCATTTTCTTAACTGTCAAGGAATCCCATGAAACAAATGTTTTAAGCCCATATGTTAAAGCCCAGTCTAACTGCTCTGCCTTATCGGTCCAAGCCTCTTTGCTCTTACCGAAGAAGGAAATCTTTTAAAACAGCTCGTCAAAAGTAGATTTTCCCCATTTCCTATAAGTCAAGGTCAATTTTTACCAAATGCTACTTGAAATGAGATTTATTATTTTGGGAATTAAATGTTTTCAGTTGCATATTAATAGACATTTTTGAATATTCACAGCAGAAGGGCAGCGTATATGAGACAGTGAAGATTGAGTCCATATAGAGCACAAGTGTCGAACTCCAGGCCTTGAGGGCCGGTGTCCTGCAGGTTTTAGATGTGTCCTTGATCCAAAACAGCTGATTTAAAGGCTAAATTACCTCCTCAACATGTCTTGAAGTTCTCCAGATGCCTGGTAATGAACTAATCATTTGATTCAGGTGTGTTGACCCAGGGTGATATCTAAAACCTGCAGGACACCGGCCCTTGAGGCCTGGAGTTCGACACCCCTGATATAGAGAAATAACACATCACGTGTCACTATTTTGAATCGCAGACTTAATTTTCCATCATCTGATCTCAAAAGGCAATTTTTTTGAGTAATGGACATTGAATCTTATGATACATTTGAAATACAGGCACGTCTAGAATCACTGCGGTGACGCTACCTTCCAGCAACCACATGAAACTCACGAATCCCCTCCTTCTAATTGTACGTGTTTTAATTGTTACCTCTCAACAGCTGCAAAATCAAATTACTTTGAAAATCCGATGATTCTTTTTGATACACAAAAACAGCCAGATGGAGCTACTGTATGTGCCCATTTAAATATCGTGAATTCATTTAGGCGTAACAAACTCAAGCCTCCTATCGTTACACCATTAGCAGAAACACTTCTTTAAAATACACAGTAAGTGTGGAAAACTCACCGGGATCAATGAGATTTCTGCTCTTAGGGACAACAAATCTCCCAGTGTAAATCAATGCTGTCTTTGGAAAGTAATTACTTTGCGTATTGTCTGGTAAGGTGTTACTCCACTCACAGATGCTATGGTTCTGAACATCTGTTCAAAACTACTAAAAAATTGCTAATTGAATAGGTGTTGTGTCTTTTTTTTTCTTTCCACACTTTGCAATTTTAATGTGTGAATAATTGAACGGTTTAGTGCACCACTTAAATTCCCCGGCATGATAAGAGTGGCATTGGGGAAACATGTAAAGGCTCCTTGTCTGAGAGGGTTTTTTGTTTCTCTCCCTGTATGATGCATAAATCCATATGTACAATGTTGGCAGCAATGAATACCACATGATGATGTCAAGGATACGTCAGCTTTATGCATGATGGAGAGCGTTCGTCTCTTAATGACAGTGACTTATCGATTGGCCGAGACAAGAGCTGATTATCCCCGGTGTTAAACTGATCTTTGCCACAGACAGACCTGCTGACTGATAGAGGGGGAGGGAGGGTCGGGGCAGTTTTAATGAGCTTTAATGGTAGACGTGTATACCTTAAGTAGAAATATACCCAATGACACGAAGACCAATAAACCAGAAGATCCCATTTGCCTGGCTGAGGTCACAGAGACCTTTTACATGTCTCTTTATTATATGTAAAGCTACAGCTAGTTGCTGGTTATCCTAGCTTAGACTAAAAAACAAAATAGGTGGAAACAGCTGGTACGGATTAGTGCAGAATCCCTTGGTCCCACCTACCAATCTGCACAATGTCTGCATGCTAAATATAAAAGCATTTGCTTAGCTGGGCAAAAAGAACAGGAACAAAGGGAAACCTGTAAACCTCTAATGGAGGTGAGAAATTCAGGATCAGAATTATAAACCTGAACATAGTTTTACTCTTTGGTTTTATACTTAATGGAAACTAAAAAGGTAGAGCCTTCATGCATAAGCGCTACTGATGTACACCAGTCTTTTTTAGACATTTGGACACTACATGATTTAGGTAGTCATGATATGTTAATGTGCTCAAAGAGTGGTTGGGTGAATTTTGTGGTTGGATGAGCGTGCCTTACTGTTTTCTAAAGTTAAACCTTGGTTAAACCTAGTTAAAAATTAAGTGGAAACAAACTATGAATATAGGTGAACATGCATGCATGAAGACATTCCATCAATCTCTGTCCAGGTCATTACCACATGCTTGTGTCTCAGAGTCTATAGAGAGGGATCTGTCTGACTGCCCGGCCAGAGATAAGGCCAGCGACGACTTGCCCACGCCATTCTGTCCCAGTAGCACTATCCTCAGTGCCCCGCCATGGCTGTGGTAAGATGACTGGGCAGCAGCCGATTGGCTGAAGGACTCATCCCGAGGCACCGCTGTGTCACTGATAGGCAACGTGGTAGGCTCCTCCAAGCCCGGGATCCAATCACAGTCCTCGGATACGGCCTCTTCCCTTCGCAGCTGGTGCTTGACAGGCAGGGGTGTGCTCCCTCGTCGAAGCGGGGGTGCCGTCGTTAGAAACATACTGTACTAGAGTGAAATAGAGACAAGATAAGAAAGACTGTCACTGGGCATGGCGGGAGGTGTTGCTGGCACGAGTGCATTCCCAGATTTTTAAAGTTCAAAGCAGACAGCTGATCTACCTGTAACGCTGCCTATTCTTGTCCATGTTATCGCAGGAGAATGTGGGAGGGGGAGGGGGAGGGTACTTCCACTGTGTGCGTATGTGTGTATAAAATAAAAGGAGAAGGAGGGAGGTGATAACAGCAGAGGTGAGACAGATGAATGGCAGTGTGAGGGAAAGATGCTGATGAAGACACAGAGCATGTCAAAGGGAAAATTAAGAGAGGAGGAGGGAGATGTTGAGGTGGGGAGTGGTGATATGAGGGCAGTAGGAGCTGCTGACAGAAAAGTGACAGCAGGTTGATAAGGATGCAGAGAATGAGGTGGAGACCAGAGAACAACAAGAAGCGTGCATGTAACACGGAAACATTTAGCAAGGATAGACAAAAAGAGACTGCAGCTGTGCGTAATAAGTGCACTCAGGTGGCTATATGCTGCACGGTGAGTGTGTGCACAGCGGGAATTCACATGCAAACAGGTCAAAAACATAAAGTCTGCATCTTTATTCTTAGTCTTTTAAAAATGGAAATCTATAATTGGGGGCTTCCAGTTTTATATAGAACAATGGCTTTGCTGAGAAAGCTGTGAGTGTTTCTGCACGAGCACAATAGTGCATGTGTGTGTGTGGGAGTGTGTGTTTTGCAGCCACAGCAGGTCAACCACAGAAGACCCGCATTAATATTAATACAGCAATTAATCTAGGTCCACAGCAGCACCGAGCATTGGTGGCTCTGTTTCTGTCTGTGGCACAGCCAAGTACAGTACTGGCACTTAATTAAAGGGGACTGACACAATAATAGGAGCACACTCGAATACATTACAATGCAGTTTACAGCTACTGTTGTGTTACTGAGCTGAGCACGTCACAGGCTGACAGGACACGAGCTATAAGTTATAAACTTGCGTGTTGAATTAGATTTGGGTAGGTTGCTATAATGTAGCAAACTAAAAAGGTATAGCAGAAAGGTTAGGTATATTGTAGCATATAGTATAGAATAGTATAGTAAGTATACTATAGTTTATTTTAATATAGTATAGTATATAGTACACTATAAAATAGCACAAAGTAGTATAGTATAGTATAATGTAGCACATAGTATAGCATAGAATACTATAAGAGGAGTAATAGTAATATTCTATACTGTAGTGTAGTTTAGTATACAATAGTACACTATAGCATACAGCACACACACCAAACTTAATATTTAATGGTTTTTTAAATGAATAATAAAAGTTAATGGAAGAAACCCAGTTTCTATTTGGTTCCACAGATATCACGATGTATCAGAGAACTGTTGTCCTGTGAATGTGATACCATCACTATTGTGACATTCACAGGACTATTGTGACAGTACTGCGTTGTTAGTTACTCTGTACATACCATTTGTAGTGTTTTTGTATAGTGTTGCATGGAGATGTCTTTTTTTTAAGAAGTCCACCTACTACTGTTGAAACTGAGATATTATAAGAAAGAAAGTGTAATTTTTCAAAAATGTGTATTCAGTCTGTCTGCTGTTGTCACAAAGCAATGCTGACAAGAAAATGAAAGAAAGCTGTTGCACAGCTCCTTGACTGTAATATGTGTGGTATGACTGGTATAATGTAAAATGATGTTTTTGCCAGTAAGGAGGCTGTAGACCTGACACTGATTCAGACCTCTGGCTTGGATGAAATGTAACAGTTTGGACAGCCAGCCTCATGATAGGATCCTCTGACTGCTAACATGACGCTTTTCCTGGTGTAAAATAGAGCACCGAGTGTAACAGTGCAGTCCTTTGAAGTGCACTATAGCGTAATTGCAGTGTTGTTAATATTGTATAGTGTTTTTACAATAAAATGCAGTTAAGGTGTGGCTGATTGTGACACTTGAGTATGTAGCTCTCTCATGCACACACAGACACATCACTCAGAGTCTGTCGCTCAGGTAACAGCCAAAGGATCTAATCAATTAATCACGCCTTTATTGTCTGCTGCGCTCAGGGGAGCTTTCCTACGCAGAGACCGTGACCACGGATCGCGCCAGCGTGTCAGGGGTTAATCTCTCTCTCGCCAGGCTGTCTAGAAACTGGGGCAAACAGCAGTGCATAATACAAAATTAATACTACAGGCTATGTTTTTAGTCTCTCTTCCTCGCAGCCCAATCACACAGACACTGCTGTTTCTTTCCAGCCCAGTTAGTTTTTTTTACTTTCGAGTCTTACGAGCAGTAAACACGAGCCGTGTTTACTGTACAGCTGATCCATAATTGTGCTCAGCATCTATGGAGTAACCTGTGGGATTAAGTGCTCCACTATATGGACGGATCGAAGGCGTTTAAGAAGTGTAACACTTGCCGATGGTTTACAGAACACACAGATATCCTGTCACAGCAAACGCCGAAACACCTAACAGCAAGTGGGGTTTAGACCGGGTGAGAAAATCTGGTTCATTAATATTCAGTCTTTAAGTCACCAATGAGCAGTCAAAGTTCGCGTGATAGTGAATGAAATTAAGACCCTAAATAATTATAATAATAAAACAACTATCTAATAAAAGTGGGGAAAAAGGATTCCTGCACATAGAAAGTGCAGCTGTGAGAAACCAAAGTGTGCTGCAGAAAAAAAAAACGCAGGCGGTGTTGTAGCAGCGTACCTGGAGTGTGTGGCTGGCTATTGTGCGGAGCGCACGAGGCTGTAGTGGAACATCTGCGTCCCCTTACCTGGTCAGCCATGGTTATCGGTGAGTCTTCTCTTTGCAGAACGAGGCTCAAGTCATCTGTGCTGCTTGCAGACCCGGCATCACATTAACCACGGCTTTAACGCACGGCACACAAAAGGCACGCGCGACTCATTTAACGTGATGTTATTCTCCCCTTCTCCGCCGAGTAAAACCTCCCCCCTCCTCCTCCTCCTCCTCCCTGCCTCGCTCCTTCCGCTCGCTAGAAATGAGAGGTGCGGCGCGTGGAGCGCCGGGATGGGAAGAAGCAGGCTGCCAGGTGGAAGAAGACTCTATACCTGCGTCTCCGCTCGGCATAGGAGGCGACTTTCTATGTGAAGGAGATGAGGACGGACAGCCCCCGGCACCGAAACGCATCCCCTCGTGTCCACTGTGAAGAGTTCCAGGGGACAGCAGTTTGTGCGCTCCTCCCTCCACCTCCAGTTAATACCTGCATGTATCTCTCTCTCTCTCTCTCTCAGTGTGTGTGTGTGTGTGTGTGTGTGTGTGTGTGTGTGTGTGTGTGTGTGGGAGTGCGCCCTTGAGTGACTGCAGAGTGATCTTGGGTTGGAGGTAAAGGGAGTGATGAGTACGGGGTGGTGTGCCCCTCCCTCTTTCCTCCAGCGCAAATATGTTTCTAATGCTTTCAAAAAGCTTGTTAAGTTCTTTTTTTAGTAACTGTGTGTGTGTCAGACACCAGGGTTTGAGCTGCTCCCGTGGAAAAAACATCATTCAGTTTTGACAACTGTTAGCAGTTTCTGTGTCTGTGAGGCGGAGTGGCCGCCAGGGGGAGGCAGAGAGACATCTCGTGGATGGGGAAAAAAGGCGCTGCCGCTGAACGCTTGTACAGAGGAATCAGGGTGTTGCCAAAAAGTGATTTCCGGTGTTTCAATTTTTTTAATGTATAATATTCTTGCTATATTTTTGCCAATATTGATAAATAGTCTGGGATCATCGAGATTTAAGGAGGAGTTATAAAAAAAACAAGCAAATGACCTGTTTTGCAAGTATCTTTACGTACCTGCTGCTACATTATAATCAATCCAGCTCTTTTTGACCACTTAAAATATCTTTATGTAACTATAATGTTATATTTTTTGCAATTTTACTGCTGCCGTCTTTGCCCCACCTCTCTTGAAAAAAACATTTTTAATCAAGCAGAGTTTTGTGTTCATAAATAATGGGTATATAAAAGTCGCTTTGCCAAAAAGTGATCGCAGAAATGCTCTTTTTGGCCTAAAACAGCTTGATATCATTCACAGGAGATATGTTTGATGTGTGTTTCACAGATTATAGGTCAACACGTAATTTAAAACCGTTTAAATACAGACAATCTTTTTTTTCTTTTCTTTTTCTTTTTCACACAACAAGTGCCAAAAAATGATTTCCAGTATTTGCCGAAAACTCAGTTGTGGTAATTAAGCTGTATAAATGACTTGTTGGCCTATAATCTGGCAAAAATATTTCAAACATATCTCTCATTAATGATATCAAGTCATTTTATACCCAAAGGAATATTATCACAAGGTAGAAATTCCAATCAGCTTAAAAAAAGTCATTTTCAAGAGAAACCTGGGTATGAAAAGTTATAACAAATATAACATAAGATTTCTATAAACATATTTTAAGGAACTACAATGAGTATGTGGGTACAATAATGTAAAGTCATAAAGAGACTTGCAAAACAGGTCATTTCTTTGTTTATATATAAGCTCTTTGTAAATCCTGTTCACTGCAATCTATTTGAAAATACAAGTGAAGATACTAGACATTAAAAACACATAGGAATTTCTGAAATCACTTCGTTGGAACAGCATCACAGAGAAATAAATAGCAGTAGATGGCCTTCATACATGAAAAAAACAGAGCTCATTTCAGGAGGGGATTTCAATTTCAGCATAAGTAGAGTTTAACAAGCCCAATTCCAAAAAAGCTGGGCTGCTGCCTGCTTTGAGGTCTGTTTTGATTTTATGGAGCTGCTCGAGGTGAAAAAGATGAGCACTACTTTTGCATTACCTAGAAACACTTTTGCATCCTCCGACAATATGTTTTATAAACCAATTCCTTCGGAGCAGATGGTGTGCGAGGCCATTCCAGTTGTGGTGCCACTTAAGGAAAAGACTGGATATGGAAAGTAGAAATGGCACATTTAGTGCTCATAACTCACTTTAAATGGCTGATGTCTGACAGTATCTAACTGGTCGCTGTGACGACAGCTGTAGCTGCTCTTCCCACTTTTACTGGTGAAGCACTGACTTGATGTATGAATATTGTTTGTCTTTTACTGGCTGCTGTGACCGATCTATAGTGCTGTGGCTATATATGTCCAGTTGTATTAAGCTTACATTTTTAGCCTTGGGTGTGTCTACTACAAAGTACCTTCAATACAAGCTCAACCAGCTCACTGGTCACACACACACGCAATAGCGGTTCATGTTCAGTACATTGGGCTACACTCAAAAACAAACACACGTCAGCCATAATCGTAGCTGAAAGTCTGCAGTCAAGGTCTCAGAGACAGCAGCAATCGGTGAGAGATCTCCCTACATTCTTAATAGAGCAGTACAGACTTGTGGTCAGCCATGCAGCTTTGGTTGCATTGATTCACACTGCAAACAAGACCAGTAGAAGACTAATTCAATACATGATGTTTCTGTTACACAACTCAGTCCTCTCCCATGCCAGGTGAAGACATTATCGTGAGGTAAAACAACCATTTTTGGCAAACTTATGAAAGGTGAAACAAAAGCAGTCCTTAAAACGATTTCCTGTCACATTATTCTGTTGCTGAAATAAACAATAAAATGAAGGTTTCTGGGAAAACGTCACCTGCTTCCAAGGCACACGGATAACCACAAGGGTCTAAAGAGGTTGCAGCTCCTGCAACACTTTTAGCAGAAAGAACAGATATTGTTATTTGACCAACGGGCTTTGGCATGAGGCCTTCATTAACACGAATTATATCACAGACAGCACTTTAAAGAACTTACTTGTTTGAGTAGAGAGAGAAATAAATCCCAACTGGAACATTTTTAAATGTGTAGAGTGTACCTATCCATCAATCCAGTTAATAAATATTAAGCCAGCCCTGAAATTGAGGTAGTCTGGATGAAAACATACAGTCTCAGTCTCATGATCACAGGTGTCTAAAATCACACACTTTATAAACATTTGTGAAGGAATGAGTTGCTTTAAAGAGCTCACTGAGTTCGAGTGTGGTACTGTAACAGGATGTCTTCATTGCAAATTTCTTCCCTCCTACATAAAGTGGAAATGTTTAGGAAGTGCAGCGATTCAGCAAAGATGTTGCAGACCACATTAAGATACACAGCAGGGTCTCCGTAAGTCTGTAACTTTTTAATACACTACGTGCTGAGGCATAAAGTGCATAAAACCAAATGCTCGGCTGCTGCTCTAAACCTCCTCTGCCTTTAACATCAGCACAAAAGCGATGTGCCAGCAGCTTCACAGCTTGGGTTTCCACGGCTGAGCAGCTCATGTGGGTGTAATGTGTAGGTGGCGCAGTACTTTTGTCCATATAGTGCATATGATTCTTGATTCTTAAAGATGTGAATATTATCCATTCCACGTGAGCCCCATACTATCATGAATGCTGTATTTACACTACACCTTGATTTAAAAGAAAAAAGCAGATGGT